TGCATCTTCCCTCCCGGGCCCTTTCTATTCCTTGGTGGAGGACATATTTCTACTTGGTGCCATCTAAAGGCAAAATTGGGTGAAAGGAGATAATGCATTAGTTTGGAGGTCAGGAAGGCAGGTGTTCATTATTATGACGAACAACTCAAGGTTGTTTTTGGAATCATCATGACGACACGAAGAGTCTATTCTTCACTTCTTATAGCCTCTATTTGCAATGTACTACTTTTGTTAGTAAAGGAACACCGAGATCCAAAAAGTAAGAGGGGTGTTTACGTGCCTCAGCAATTATGCATTGAAATCTTTTTTTGACTTTATATATGAGAAACTCTACCCTTGAATGAGAATCTTTTATTTAACTCTGCTTATTCACTTTTCTTATTTGCCTTCCAGCCGAGGTCTTGTCAAAAGCATGCTGCGGAAAAACCCAGAACTGAGGCCAAGTGTATGATTCCTCTTTATCTGATTTATATAGGTTCATTTACATCTTAAGCCATTATGGTATTGCCTTAAGATCTCCTATGAGATTCACTAAGAAACTTGAACTGGTGGTTTACTGTGCATATTGTGTCATCTGCATAAATGGATTATGTTTTTAGATAGAGATCTGCATATGATGGAGTTATTTTGAAGATAAACCAACAGAAGCTTATAAATGCTGTAGTGCTGTCTCAACTTCTTTACCTGAAAATCAAATATGTGACTATGAGGTTATTGTTTGTTACATTTCTTTCGTGAATCTCCCGCTTTCCATGCCTGTGCTTTACACCATAATGTAAGACACTTCCTCTGACTTATGTTTCATCCAGTATTAGAAACATTCAATTTTATATCTTTTGTTTTTGCTCTTTCTTATTTTTAATTTTTTTGGTTGGTAATACTTTCACAAGACAAAATCCTCAAGTGAGACACATTTTCTAACCATTGTTCCAGAACTTGTACGGCAACTGTCTTCTGCCTTAATTTTAAGAAAAAGGCAGGTTGACATGATCTTCTGGTAATGTAAAATATCTTTACAAATACCAAGTTGATGAGTCATCATTTGGATGGAAGGTAAAGGGATAAACAAGGAAACTTAGACCCGAATTTTGCTATCAATATGCTTCTTCTGTAGTTAATGATTTGTAGCATTTGCAACAAATTTTATTAATAATTATCTTTCTCAATAATTTTTTTTATTAGTAATTATCCCAAGCATCATAGTATATCTGAATTAAATATCACTAAGTATACCACAGCTACGGCACAAAATCTTCCTAGTTTCCTGTATTGAAGTTACCTATTTCAAAAGAAAAAAATCCTCCTTCTAGTTTCCTGTATTGTATTTTATGTATTCATATGACTCGACTGGTTCAGTTACAATTGTCCTGCGTGTGACTTTCTGTCAGCAATACTCTCTAGCCTGCGATACCTGTTATTTTTAGTCTTAAATTACCTATGTGGACTGATTGACATGCATAGGTGGAGAAGAAGTCCTCTATTCAATATGTAACAAGCCAAATGTTTTAATGTTCCATAAATATTGTCTGGTTGTGTAAAATATGCGAAGGAACTAGTCGCTCCTAAGAGCACACATCGCAGATCTGAACCCTTCCACATACTTGTATTTAGTGGAGAAGGGTAGAGGGCAGAGGAGGGGGCCATTATCCACAGAGAACAGTCACCTCAGGCTCTGAGGGATTTCTTTGTTATTAAATAAGAAAAAACAACTAGCTACTCCTAAGAGCTGGGAATTAACTCTGACCCTTTATTAGGGATTATAGTGAAGAAAACCAAAGGACATGAATAATCTCTTTCTTAGTTGTGTTGCATCTAATTTGAGAAGTTGTAGCCTTAATTTACGTTTATGCTAAAACTGCAAGGATCTTTACTCATAACTTTTATGTAGTTGTGTAATATCAACAGTATCGATGACATGTCTCATCATTTTGCCCACAAGCATTTCATGTTTCCTGTCTTTAGCTTTGAAGTATGAAGCCTTTCATAATTGATGATTATCTTTGAGTGCTGGCTTAGAAGGAGCTTCTCTTCTGAAGTACAGGAGTGTTTTTTACTATATAACTGAGAGTAGTGATTCTAACAAAAATGAAAGGATTAACATGCTAACACTTTAAACAGTAGGTCTTTCTGTTTATTATTTTTCTGTAAGTTGATAAATTTCTTCTTAAATTAACTTTGAAGCATGAAAATACAGGAAGCGTAACGCCTTAAATTACTTTCTCGCAGAAGCTATTCAATACTGACGACAAAAGGTTAAAATATGTCTATTTGGCTTCTTTAGAGTGCTTCCATTGTTCCGTCAGATTAGTTTTCTAGACTGTTGGTTAGTAGCCAAAATTGATCTAGTGACCTGATCAGCTCTTAAGATATAAAGTTAATAGGGAATCTCCTCACAAAGACTGAAAATTTAAGGCATATTTTGATTGTAATATTCATACTGACTTAAAATATTATTTTTGTTATACAGGCAGCAGAACTTCTAAGGAATCCACTTCTTCAGCCATATGTGATTAATACACATCTCAAACTTAATGGCCCCAGACGCAACAGTTTACCTGCTTGTTTGCCTGATAATGATGTAAAGAAAACCAGATTTGCAATTTCTGAAAGCACACCTGTCGCAAAGAACAGAGAGAAGCGAATGTCATGTGGAAATGATAGGACTTTGAATCCTAGTGTCTCTGATCACGATTATACTTTTTCAAATCGTAGATATCCAAAAACACCAAGCAGAGTATCTGAATTGTCTGTTGGAAGCCCTGATAGAGGATCAACTGTCACAAAAAAAATCACTTCAAAAGCTTTGCTTGTGAATAAGAATCCAAAGGTGATCGTGCCAAAATTGACTACTCCAAGAAGACAAGTGGATCTAAGGAACAGTGATATGGTAAGGTTACAAGTAAAAGGTTATTCGTTTTACTTCTTTCTATTTTATAAAAGTAAATGGATTTTATTCTAGACAAGAACGTCCAAGCGGTTCAACTGATGTACAACAAAGTAGGCAAAATACCAATATATAAAAACTAATAGAGTCAATAGTTTGTCATTGCAACAGATTTAGAGAAAATGGTTTCTCACTAAATCTTAGATGGTGTCAACTTATATGTGAAAAGAAAAGCGGGTATCCTAAAATTTAACCTAATATTGTTATTTTCATTTGGATCTTGATTAACTGTTTGGAATGCCCGAACCAGGATATGTTCCATCACATTAGCTTAGATAATTTCCAGTAACAATTTTAATATTCATTTTCACAATTATTATTATATGATAAACTAGTTAGATTAAAATCTTAAATTGTGTGTGAAATCAAATACTGTCACACGAGAGAGAGAGAGAGAGCAGAAAAAGCAAAAAGAAAATAAAAGAACACGTTGAAGATAAGCAGACCTCAACACAGAAGCTCAAGATGAATTGTATCTTGTTGTTTCACTTTTTGTGTATAGAAAGTAGAGTAGAGGAGGCAGATTCCCTAGTAGATTCATTTGATAAGATTCTCTGTAAATTCTTATTTTTCTTAGCTGGGTGGTTTTTGGTCTCTCAGTAATTATGCTTTTGAACTGCTTTATTAGTGCCTTTGTGTACCAACTTGTTGCCAGTTTAAAAAAAGAAGAAAATAACATGTGGTTGCTTTTGTATCTATGTTCTGAAAATCATGGATATAAGCTTATGTACTTTAAGCAGTAATATGATTATATGCAATTCTAGCCTGCTTAACCATATTTCCCTTGGTGATGTGTTCCCAACACCTGCGTCCTGTCGTTTGACTACTCTATGCTTGACAGGCTTCACGAACCCTGGTGAAGAGATCTGTTTCTACAACTCGTAGGGCATCTTTGCCATTGACAAACAAGGCAGCAGTTCAAGAATTACCTCGAAGGCCGAGTCTCAGTTTTCTTGACTGTATTAAGTCTCCTGATGTTTCTGTCAATGCCCCTCGAATTGACAAGATGCTTGAGTTTCCATTAGCTTCATATGAAGATCCTTTCCATCCTATACGCCGAACATCATCAAACTCTGCGCAAGGTTCCTCTGGCTCACCACAAGCTGAGTATTCAGTTATGAAAGACAAATGTACCATACAGATTCCTGACAGTAAATTTGATCGAATGAGTGCCAATGATGCTTGGCAAGGGTTTGAAGGCCCCATGGTGCATGTGGATAGAGAGGACATAACTGATTCTTCTGATCAAAATGCCACTGCTGGTGCATCTAGCCGAACCTCATCTGACACAAGACGCCGTCGTTTTAACATGTCATCTTATAAGCAACGGGCCGAAGCCCTGGAGGGACTACTTGAGTTCAGTGCTAGACTCTTGCAAGAAGACAGATTCGATGAACTTGGTGTCTTATTGAAGCCATTTGGACCAGAAAAAGTTTCTCCGAGGGAAACTGCTATTTGGTTGACCAAGAGCATAAAGGAAAATGCTCCTAAACAAGAAGATTAGTTCTAAGAACATTCAATGTGTATAAAGTAGTCTTTGCTGTAATATTTTCTGTAGGTGCCCAGATTTTGCTACGTAGAGGCAGTCATAAGCTGAAACATTAATTCATAGCTAGCATATTTAGCAAATTCACGAAGTACTGATAGGATAATATGGATGAGAAAACAGGTTCTTTAATTCCGCTAGAAATATTATTGCTTATGGATGGTTCCAATGTTAGCATCTATTTTTGCCGAATTAGAGTCCTTGTTATGCTCCTTGTCTCTTCTATTTTTGGGTGCATTTACTCGACTTGAGACACCAAGCTAAAGAATTTAAACATCAGTTTTCATTAGAAATTGGGTGTTGCCCCAATTTTTGGTATTAGGTTGCAGTTCTCCTTATGCACTTGGATGCTCTAATAACAGAGATATTTTAAAGAAAATGGAGTTTCACTGGGCAAGATGGAACCAGTACGTGCTCAGAGGAGGCTGATGTATTTGGCTGAGAGAGAGCAATACATAGCTATAAATCTCATGTGCTAGTCACTCTTACGTTATAGACAGTGAGAGATCTTCCAGAGGTCAAATGGCAGACACTATGCTGGCGGAATCAACCTTGACATGCTTGATAGACTTTGCTTGTTTGTAGAGCTTAAGTAACCAGGCTTCATGGCTTTCTGGGACATTGTGTCTCCTGCTGTGAGTAGGTGTTTCTTCCCTTCTAGAGTCAGGTATGCCTGTTATCCCATCCATTGATGGTGTGCGCTTGCTTTTTCTTATAATGCTCCAATTGGGTCGTTGTCTGGGTTCACTATGTGACCTAGCTTTTGCTCTTGAGGATTCTGTATTGGACATGTATGTTAGTGCTAAAGTAGCACTAGAAAAAATGGAGTTCGGTTTTTCTGAGTGTGCAATGGAAAATGGGGTTTTGGAAGATGTGGTTGTTGACACATTAGAGCAATGTTCAAAACCTTTTTCTGGCGTCTTGAAGGAAAAATCCTCTAAATGCCTGTCATAACTTATTGTGCTCATATCACTCAGTGTAGAGGGACTTGGACATGTCTGAAGTACTTGATGACTTCTCCTTGACAGTGAAAGGCAACGAGACTCAGAGGTGCTCAATCCATTTTCCATTCCAGAAGATCTGTTTTTCGTGCTATTATTCTTCTGAACTCTCCCTTTTTCTTGAATGCTAACATCCATCTTTTCCTGCCATTTAAAATCTTGTCATTTCCATTATGTTGGTACACTCAAAATTCTGCATGAGAAGAGGAGACTTACAATGCTGCAGGCTCTGGTAAGTTGATTGTTCCCAGGTGATACTTTCTGACTCTTTCTTGAGTTTGGGGTATTTGCTTCTTCAGTCATCTGAACTCTTTGAACACGAGCCCTTAGTTGAATGACCATAAGAGAGTGCATGCGTCTCACCATTGCTGCTGTCTGTTTCCTCACTAGGTGACCCCTTACCAGTGCCTGTAATCTAACTAGGCTTCTTAGGGCGCGCAATGCTTTCCTAGCCTGCATAAACATCAGTCATGCTTTCAAACCATTTTTCACCTTTTAGCATTAAACCTTATTTATTTAGCCCTACATAGTTTAGCGGTGCATGTTCATTGACCTTATGGTGAGAACAAGGTCCTCTCCATAATAGGTAACTTAGTGCAAGTTCTGAGGATCAAATGAAACCAAACATGCTTTACCTAGTTTAAAAATAAACAAGAACACACTCATGGTTTGAATGGTTACCAAATAAGCACGGAAAACAGCTTGGATTTTGGTGGCAGCTGCATCCTTAACACGTCTGGTAAGGTATGCCTTTGGTTTTATAGCTCCTTTTGCTGTTAGGCTTGCTTTGTGGTGTTTCTCTAGCATGTCAAACTCCAGGATTGAACCTTGTGTGTTTAGTTGGTGATCAAAAGTTAAGTCGAAAGACCTGTTACTCTTGTGGCTTTTTCTCTCCATGCTTGATGATTTCTTGAAACTCCATCTCCTTTTCGCCTTTGGAGTTGTTGGGGTGCCCATACTTTCTATTGATTTGTATTCTTTCTTTTCCCTTTCCTCCTTTTTCCCCATCACCATTAGGAAGTTTCTGATCCATTTGCTTGCCTTCCCCATTTCTTGTATTACCTTTCAATCTCTTTCACTCAATAGTGTTGAACTTTCCTTGAATTGGGTGAATGTTAGAGACTTTGAGTCATATCAATGTGGTTGAGTACACTGATATAATGAGGTTAAGGCCTGCATTGTTTCTTGGCTTTGTTATTTGATTGACTTTTTTTGTGTGTGATGTTTTAAAAGTGAATATTCAAATGGTTTTGGTGGTGCAACTCTTTATATTAGTCATTTTCACAGTATTTGGTTTGGCGAAGGCCTGCAAATGTGTCCTCTTGTCTTGCCATTTGCAACTATAGTGAGACTTGGACATTATACTTCTCTGTATATATTGGAGGTTTCTGAATTAAAACACTTACTTTGTTTTTAGTCAGAGCTGCATGCAAACCTCAATTATAGTCTTTTCTAAAGAAGGAACCTTTCACTGACCAATATATTCAGTTTGGCCAACTAATTTATAAACTCTATGTACAAAAATGATTGAAGAATACACACCATATACACTGGTTATGTATAGATATGTTTAGTAGAAGTACATATTTTGTAAATTGGATCACTCAAGGTATTAGGCTGTAATTTTCCCTTTGTCTCTTATCAAAAGCATCACATTTGGCTCATAAAAGAATGATACTTCAGTTTTCTCAAATTAATGTGTCCTAGACTTATAAAGTGATTCGAAAAATTTAATTTGGCTTGAATTTGCAGATAAAATGTAAAATATCTAAGGCAGGCACCTAGATTTGTCTTTGAGGGAATTTTCACCATCACACCAAGTATTGCTAATTGGAAAGCTGACTCAACCTTGTCAACGTATATAACTTAAATATTCTTCTTTTCTTCTGTTGAGTAGTTTAATACGTGTCATTACATAAAATAAATATGAACACCCAATTATGGTTGAGTTAACCACAATTAGCCACATTAAACACTAGAAGATCCATTCATTAAACTTTCAACTGCTTTACCCTCAATGTAAAACAGAACTATGACTTTAATCTTTGAATTTTTTTTTGTACCTAAACCTTTGATGTGTATGTTTATTAGTTACTTATGTCTTTTGGTTTGTTATTATTGTTTGATTGAAGACGTTATTGTCGTGTCCATTTGACTTCTTTGATTTACATTTACTCCAATTTTTGTTTTCAAAAAGTTTTACATACTCACGGAACTTCTTCTATCTATGTATGATTAATTGGGGGTAGGTAAAGGGGAGTTGTAAGGCGGAAAATTATATCCTCACTGACAAGGTGAAAGTTTAGATAGTTGCTGAAAATATGTTTTTACTTTACAAAGCAACAAAGAAGAACACTTCTTTTGAAAGAATAATAAAAAAAATCCCCCAATTTTAACTATAATTTACAAATATGCATAGTATAAACTTTTTGACAAGCTGATTCAACTAAACCTGCTTAGCCAAGGTGATAATATATTTTAATTAAGTATTTAAGAAAATTTGGACAACTTTAGAAGTCATTAAAATTCTTTATTAAAAATGATAATTTTGAAAGATAAACCCAATTTTCTAGTACTACAATAAAATATATTAGAACTATAACTATACCAATTTTATTGGATATTTCAGTTGTGATTCAACCGTTTTTGGGGACAATTAAAAACCTAACTACTTAGTGCTTTGACAAATGAAACCCAAATACTTATTGTACTTGGCTAGGGAGACTATTGATAACCTTCTACTTAATCTTGTACTTGGCTCATAATTATGAAAGTTTTAACACCCCCCACCCCCACCCCCCACCCCAGAAAAGAAAAGAAAAGAAAACAACTTAAAGGTGAAGTACGTTTATTCCGTGCAAATTTGAATTAGTCTGAATATCTTATATTCGTCTATCCTTTGAAGAAGTTCAATTTAAACAAATTCTAGAATACTACTATACATGTATGATGATCATTTTAAAAGAAATTTAAAAATTAAATTTATCGTATGAAAATCCTAAATTCGTCTTTCCTTTTAAGAAGTTCCATTTAAGCAAATTCTAGAATTCTACTATCAGGTTCTAACTTCTATGTTGCTCAATGCTGACTTTTCTCCACAAATAACCATTAAAGTTTTCTAAATTACTACTGTTAGGTTCTATGTTTACATTATAGGTTCTACAAACCAAAAGAGAAAACTTTGCCCCAAAAAGAAAAATGCCTTTAGTTTATTGTAATAGAACATAGATTAACTAATCCACCAAGTAATGGAAATTTCAAATAATTATATATTATGAAGTTAATTAGACTTGGGACAACCCTAAGAAGACTTGCCACATACAAATCTTTGAAAATTTGATACAAGTAGAAGCTTCTACTAAAAAATATTCAACACAAATTTCCTCTATAAATTTACCTCTCATTGGACACAAAGTGCATATTCATATTCTCTTCCTTTCCCCATAAAACACACAACAACAATATTAATTTTGGCATAGAGAAGATGGATTTGTTCAAGTTTAGAGCTCATTACCTACTTCTTCTTTTGGTTTTATTACCAATGTTAGCTGCAAAAGAGGATAGTATTCCTCCTGTTCTTGCCCCTTACTTTGGTACATCTCTTTCCTTAACTATCTATTCATTCATATATTTTTTTTTTATTGGTCATTTTGTTATGAATTTTAGAGCAGTTCTAAATTTATACATATGCTCCTACTTTTCTCAAACTTCTAAAAAAAAGAAAGAGAGTAGATATACAGAGACTAGGGAAGACCTAGCATAGATGTTTGATTCTGATCATATGAACAAGTAAATTAAATTGACTGGTAAAATTTCGAACTCGAGTCTCATAAAGTTCAAATCTTGAATTTGTCTCTCTGTGCACAGAAACAAGTGCACTAGTCATAGATATAGAAGAAAACTTTTGTTATTGTTTTAATCTAGTTACTTGTGAACTTTTTGAATTGGCTGTTATATGAATCTGTATATAGACAATATATGCAATGATGTGGAGTGTGGGAAAGGAAGATGTGAGAAAGCACCAGGAAAGCCATTCAACTTCATCTGTAAATGTGAACGAGGTTGGAAGCGTACTCGCCATGATGATGATGATGATGAAGATGATCTTGAATTTCTCCCTTGCATTGTTCCCAAGTGTCAGTACAGTGAAACTCATATCTGAAAAGTTTGGTATATAGAAGAAAACTTGATTTCAATTTTTGACCAAGAGTTGGTGATTATGTGTTATTGCAGGTTCTCTTGACTATTCTTGCTTACCAGCACCTCCACCAGCTCCACCAATTCCACACAACATGTCTTTCTTTGATCGTAATTACTAAATCTTCTCTTCGTACAATTTTCGTGCATGTTCTATCTAATTTCTTATTAAACTCCATGACCTTCTTTTTTGGTTTAAGCTTGCAATTGGATTTACTGTGGGGAAGGGACATGCAAGAAGAATATAACACATGGACAAACATGCCAGTGCAAATCTGGTTATTCCAATCTTCTCGATATTCCTGCTTTCCCTTGCTTCAATGATTGTAAGTAGAAACAACAATTTAGATGTTGAAATTTCACATAATTAATATTACTAGCTAATTCAATATTTGACTTTTTAGGTGCCATTGGATCTGATTGCCAAAAGCTGGGAATTCGCCTTTCAAATTCCACTGCATCATCTCCATCTTCAATTTTTAATACCAATAGTGGAGGTAATGACAAAAATGGAGGTAAGAGCTACCACCGTCAATAATTTGGATTCAATTTACAGGACATGAGGTTATAACCCTTGTATATGTTCCATAGGAAACAAAAACAGTTCATGGTTATGTAATTCTAAAGGTCAAGTCCAGGAAAATAAAATCATATTACACTTGCGCTAAACAGAGTATAAGATCGTCTCACCATTCTAATTCTTCCATACTGGCAGCTACATCATTTATGCTCAAGAATTCCCACTGGATGGCTATCTTTCTGGCCTCAGCAGCTATGGGTTTACTCAACTAGGAAGAGGTGATGTTGTTTTACTTCGCATGAGAGATATCAGCTTGGTGCTTCATCTATACCAGCGCATTGTACTTCATTCATTTGCCAGATTCATATGTACTATATATATTTAATAAACATGTGATAGTGTTGTCATTTCTGTACAGAGTATATTTTGAATATTGTTTCAGTTGTAGTATTTTACTTTTCTTCATATAGCCTTCAGCTTATGAGGTTGTGGAGGTCGAGGATTCAGAGAGAAGGCTAGAAGTATATCAGTTTCATGCTTTGTCTCTCCTGCTAGTAGCATTAGTATTATTTTCGTTATATTATTATTTTACTATTTCCGGATTCCTCAATCTTAGTTTTCTTTTACTTCGTGTTGTCTTCTATACCTTGGGTTTCTTACTACCCTGCTGTTGTTACTGCTTATGTCTCCATGGCTTTACTGGGTATTTTGTTGTTCTTGTTCATATAGAAACTACATATCTTGTGTAGATGACTAGCTTCATATGAGTTAGGCATGATGGATCCCATTTACATTATTCTAATGCAATTGCACATCAGAAGAAGTAGATAACATTCCTAACTAATTTCAGAAACATGCTTGCGCACACAGAGAGCCCCCCACCCCACTGTGAGAAATAAAAGAAAGGAAGCAAGTTTGTTGTTATGCTCTTTAACGAAAACCACCAATTATTTCAGTGAAATAATTTAAGCATCCACTCCTAACCTTAATTGACAACAAACTTCCTTTTTTCAATCAATTTAAATTTAAATCCATTCCTCTATCCAAGTTAAACTAATATTTTACTCTATACAACAACAAAACAACATGAACGTCCTTCACCTACCTTTGTGGGGGTAGAGAGGCTCAACTCAAGAATAATATTTAACTCTATCCAAGTTTCTTATATAATTGATTGTACTAGCTAATGACTTATCAGATTATCCCGTTACAATGTCTTCCCTCCTCCACCTCTATGAAGTAAGCATCAAGAAAGATAGGCTTGGTGTTGGAAGGAGGGAGGGACATGAAACACCGGAGAGCACAATGGCTTTCTGTAGGATGTTACTCCTGAATATAGTCAGGGAAGACACAAAATCCAAACTACAGCAATTTACTCATTTAACTTGTACATTGGAGCACCTAAAGAGCATAAGATCCACAAAGATAAACCCCAAACCGAGTAACCCATTAAATCACAAAGAGGAGTGTACATTACAACTGCTCTATTGCTAAACATGTAAAGCAGTGGGCTGTGGATGGGTACCTTGCCCAACTACAGACTATAACAGCCGAGCCTATTAGCATACTTAAAGCTTTCTTTGGATATAAAGTTACTTCCCCAAGCATACGCAAACAGGTACCTATCTTACAGTTCATTGAAACAAAAAAATGTAGATTTAGAATATATGACATGTAAAACACATTGGTTTCACCTCCAAACTCTCCACGGGAAAATTTAAAGCACTAGACATCACATCTGTAGTAATGCAGTTTCAAGCTTTCAAACAACCGCTGAGTCCAGCTCTGGTATGCATTCAGTATTTCAAAGAGTTCTCTAAAAGAAGATACAAAAAGGATAAGAATGGGAACTTTCCTCGTATCACATTGTTGCTGATGCCACTACATTTACTCTATAACATCAAATTCTAAAAGAAAATTGAATTTTCCAAGTGATCAAATTGCCATATGCTCAGCACAAAGATGTAAACTAGTCAAGATAGAAGCAACAAAGAGAAATCAACAAAAAAACATTTCTTTTCCATTCTAATATACAAATTACATTCGGATGGGAGTATTATTGCTAAACATCTCCAAAAAAAATGCCAAAACTTATTAATGTTACAACAATCAACTCCTATTTCCTCAAAACGAAAATGAAGTCTAAAATTTCCACTCAAAACAGAAGTTAAAGTTGTTCAGACCTCACCAGTTGGGAGCTAAAATTGATGAATATTTCACTTGCTCTTGACACTGACTCCTTCCTTCCCAGCAATGATAACAGCAGTGGTCATATCCAAGAACAATCCATGCTCCACCACCCCTTCGAAAGACGCAATCTCCTTCCCAGCAGCAGCAGAATCCCTAATAGGAGTCTTGAAATACAAATCCACAATATAGTTAGAGTTATCGGTCACATATGGCTTCCCATTACCATCCAATCTCAACTTTGCATCAACACCCTCTTCCTTAAACAATTCCTGTAACCTAACCAAATTGTACTTCCAACAAAACTGCACCACCTCAACCGGCATAGCCAACCCGGATCCACCAAGACCCGAAACAAGCTTCGAATCATCTACCACAACAACAAACTTATCGGACGCCGCCTCCACCATCTTCTCCCTTAACAGAGCTCCTCCTCGACCCTTGACTAGGTCGAGATTCGGGTCGACCTCATCAGCACCATCAATAGCTAGATCAATATGTGGGTGGTCGTCAAGTGTAGATAACGGGATGTTGAGCGACAAAGCTTGTTCTTCAGTACGCTTTGAAGTGGGAACTCCTACAATGTTCGTGAGTTGCCCAGATGAAAGAAGCTCACCCAATTTAGCGACAACGAAAGCTGCTGTTGACCCAGTGCCTAGACCAAGGACCATTCCACTTTTGACATACTCGACGGCCTTATCGGCTGCGAGTTTCTTGAGTTCATCTTGGGTTAAAGGTGATGGAACAGGTGCAGAGAAGGCTTTAATTGAAGGGGTTGTGGAGCGAATGCGGATAGTGGGGTTGCGCAAGAAGATGGAAGGAAGGCGGGTACCGATGATAGAACTGTGGCGGAGAGTAGAAGAAGAAGAAGAAGAAGAAGAAGAAGAAGAAGAAGGAGAAGAAGAAGGAGAGTGAGGTGAGATTAGGGATAAGGAAGCCATGGGTGATGATGGAGTAAGAATTTTTTGGTCTCACCTCAACTATAGGATCCTTTCTTGGTTTTGTTTGGTGAGTTGGGAGGTTGGTCTTTTGATTCTATTTTTATTTCTTGGGTCAAAAAATTAAAATAAGGACATTGTGGGAGTGGGTGGGTGGTGAATGGTTGGTGATGATGAGGATGGAAATTGAAAGGATATCCTAAAGATTGATAGCACCTTTTTTTTCTTTTCTAAATAGCAAATTATTATTATTGGTTTTGGAGAATCAATATATTCAAGGAAAGGTCTAAAGATGCGAATGAATATTAATTTTCTAGTACCAAAAATTAGATTTCTATGTCCAAAATTGTAGAGATTTTGAAGATTTGTTGCATGTATCAAGCCATAGTCTATGATCCCATAATACTCGATGGAAGGGAAAATAATACCTCAGTGTTTATAAAACTTGGTTGTTTCTGATTTCGCAAAATTTATACTCCCTCCGTTTCATAAAGAATGACCTGGTTTGACTTGGCATGGAGTTTAAATAAATAAAGAAGACTTTTGAATCTTGTGGTCCTAAATTAAAGTTATGTTAAATGTACAAAATTGCCCTTAATCTTGTGATCTTAAACATGCCACGTGAAAAGCAAAAAGTAAAATGTTATCAAAAAAGGAAATAGGTCATTATTTTTGAAACTGACTAAAAAGGAAAGGAGGTCATTCTTTGTGAAACGGAGAGAGTATTTTAAAACAACCGAAAGCAAGTGTTCACGTGACCTCAAATTGATTGACTATCCTAAATTTTGCTCAAGCATCAATTTCAAAAGCCAAATTTAACTCGGAGAAAGCTACTCTTCAGGCCAGATTCAAAAGTTGTGCAAAACAATGAAAAGTGAATGAAGTACAAATGATCTCAACCATGAAATGCAACTGAAGTACTACTACCATATATTTCAGAGAGTAAGAAGTAATTAATTTTCTGTATTTTCAAGCATCTAAGTTTAATTTTGATTAATAGTCAAAGATCCATCATCTTGCCTAATTTAATAAGAAAAGCATCCTTGAAGGCATCAATTCAAACTTACCACTCGAGATGTACACAAAGGTATTTATGGGAAATGCTTCCAGCATGGTTAGAATTTTCTTCTTGTTAAAACCAGACAGATCATTGAGCAGCTAGAGGACAAGAGATAAATAAAGTGTAGCAACCATCACTCCACAACCTAGAAAGTATACCTCTTTACACTAATTAGGTAGTGAATCATGGCTTCAACATATTGCATCGAACAATGCAGCGACAGCTCGCGCTGATATTTGGTATATCCAGTGTATCAAGTTTCCAATTACTTCTGTCGTAAACTACAGAAGTTAAAAAGAAAACAAAATTCTTAAAATGATGAACGATTATAATGATCTTTTGCAGGATCAATGGTCCTCAATCTTCTTCAAGCCTTTCATATCTGTTGTTTCCACCCTGCAGGAAAAAGAAATATCATCAAACATGTTCAAACTCATAATAGCCAATTAGCGACACTCAAGCTTAGCAAAGAGCCAGGCGCGCATGCCCCATATCTAGGAAACCAAATTCTCTGGGTCAGTTGAGCACAGAACCTACCTAAAATAATTGGCAACAATTAAGCAAGACTTTGGACGAGGTAATTTCTTCATAGTGATCCAGGAATCACTACTTTAGCCTCTATAAGTAATTTCTCTCTCTTCATAATGCTATGTGTGCAAAGGAATGATTTTGCTTGCAATAGGATTTGAGGATAGAGGAAACAGCAAAGAAGAAATAAAAATGGGGCATCTGACATCCAGTGTCAAGTGAAAGGTAAAAGACAAATCTTTTTTTGGGGAAGATTATAGAATTGCACACATTTTTATTATAGATTAAACACATTTTTAGAATGATAAGAAAAGACAAGTTAGTTTTGGAAATCTAAAAGGGGCCAAAGTTTATTGATGTATATTAATTTAGTTAACCGAAAGGATGAACTACTATGAAAGAGCATCTAGAACACAGAAACACAAAATCTTCCAATCACCCACATGAGTGTGAATATCATGTGTTATTTAGGAGCTACAACTACTGAAAACATAGGATCTACAAGTCCTTTCCTCTGCAATGTCAAGGTATAATAAAGGAGCTCTGACAACAGAAAGCTTAAACTTCTCCAAGATAGAGGTAGGATTAATCTTGGCAAGTATATTTAAGTGGCTATTAAAATTCAGCTTCTCCAAATGTGTCCTTTAAGCTAATACATAAACTTGTAAAGGAAACAATTTCATATACATGTACATGAACTTCCACAGGATCCCACTTGTGGGATTTCACTGGGTATGCTGTTGTACATGCACTTCCACTTATGAAGGAATTCCTTTTCTTTGATCTTTCTAAAATTTCACCAAACAATTTTGTTCAGCCGTGATAAAGAAGTAATGAAAAAACTTTGTTTAACAGTTTTTTTGTAGCACTCATTGTCTGCTGAGGGGCACGTAGTCCCCTAACTTCAGTAATTCCATCTTTTGGTAACATTAACTTAAGGATAGCATGTTTACAAGGTGTTAGCTCTTGATAGCACAAGTGATTATCTTAATGAGGGAAAACACAACGAAGTTTCAGCATCCAAGCATGTTGAGTGAGCAGTCAGGCCATTTGAACATTGCACGGTCTCATGCTTTTCTAAGTATAAAGTTTTAACTGTTCTCTTTTCCGTTATGTTTAATGTTTAAACAGTTCCAGACGTAAACATGAAACACTAAATAAAAGGAACTGAAGTACACATTAAAGAAATTGCTAACAACAAAAAGAAGCAAAAGATAGGTTTCATGCAAAAGGAATGAGGTCATAAGAATTAAGAAACTTACGTTGATCCATACAAAACAATTTTTTGAACATTTGTAGTTTCCCCATCATGTTGATTGCCCTCGATAAAAATGGTCACACTGGTTCAATAACAGTAAAAAAGATTAGTGTCCATCTTACAAATGACTCTTGTAAAAGTTGATGCTCGTGGATATTAGCATACCTGCGAACATTTTGAAACTTGACATACTTCAAGGTAACTGGTTTTCCCTGCAAATGATCAACGAGACATTTCAAGGATGAACATCCAGGGATACTAAAGAATTCTATAAGCAAACATCATTTAGTTAAACTTAAACACAAAGCCAAGAAGCATAATTCCTGTATTATCAGGATTGACTAACCTTGAGGTTATCTTCAGATAAAGCAACCGTGTCACTTGGAGGGTAATCATTAACATTACTGCAAAGAGGTTCCCAATCAGCAAATACACATAGTAGATGTGAGAATTCCTCCTACATAATGATCAGTCTAGTAAAGTCAAAAAGAAATGAAACTTCAAAAGTTACCTAAATCCCATGTGCTCCTTGTTAGAAAACAGCTTCACAGTTTTAGGACCTTCAAGGAGACAAATCTGTGTTACTATATCATCATGCATATATAGGGGTACAGAAGAAGCACTTGACAAGTTCATCAAGGAGGCAATAACATATTACCTTATCACAAAAAAATGAAAAAACAGAACACCAATGGATGCTTCTTTAGGGAAAAAATAGCAGGTGTGATAACAAATTGAAGACATCAAGCAAAAGAAGTATATCAGGAAAGATTACTAAGACGAGATTCAAAAACAGCATTATAACTGCAGCTTTACTTAGAACACTCAAAATGGAACACATAATCCCCAGCTCTCTAAACTGTACAACTGTTTGATACACTGCTTTGGCCTGATGCCTATACTAATATCTAAAGGAGAGCAAAACAGTTGGTGCAACTCCTCTGGTGAAGCTTGTCACAACTTTCTTCGTCAATAGCCCCTCTGACTACCCCACTAACAACAGCAGAAAATGGTCAAAAAAGTCATTCATACCAACTTAGTAGTCATCTCTGTTATGCCCCCCTCCCCCCTCTAGTTTTCTCATGCTTTATGCATAGTTTAGAATTTAGATTAAGTTTCAACAAAAAATTATTGATGTATGCACAGTCATGTGCCTGTTAACTAGTTGAAACAATATATGCTCTTGCATCATTTATCTACTTATCTGTAACATAAAGAGAGGCCAGAGTAAGAACTCATTTATCTTAAACAGCAGGAGTACCAAGGTAACTCTTCCATAATGTTGCCTCATGAGAGTATTATTACATCCACCAAAGAGGACTACTTATACCAATCAAAAAAAAGAAAACGATGAAATGAAGGATTATGTAGAGACTTCTTTCATCACAACGATGAACAAAGACGTTGGAGCAACTTGAGAACACCTAGTTATGCATCAACAATTTTTTGAGAAAGCTTAGTTGTGCGTCAACAATTCTCAGAAGCCAACACCAAAGCAGAAATTGCAAGAGATAAAACTAAGGGTCTTGTGTGCACAGCAAAAGATTACTAGGGGTAGAAAGAGACACCACAAATCTATTAGCTACCTTCCTCCTCAGGTCCTTTGATAACGATCGAATGCAGTTTGATGACTTGATTAAAAGGTATGTAAATCAATAGCTGTTCATCTGCATCACTCACCAGGTTCAAGCCCTCATCTTCTCTGTAACCCTGATTTAAATTCAAATAAAGCCAACACAATTACTGAAACTGCAAGCAGAAGTAGACGATTATAAAACAAGTGAACTGACATTGAAGCTTACAATTGGAAAAAAGAATCCCCAAAAGTTGCATGGTCACGGATAAAAAGGGTAGTAACAGGTTTCATTATGGTAATATCAGAAAGAAGTTGGTTGGTCATCAATTAAGAGCAAAGAAGTCAGATTTCATATTCCCTTGGTCTTAGGATGCATTATATTGACTCATCCTACTAATTAAAAACACTTTTTTTTCCTATCACAGTGCTATTCCTGATTCAGCAGGAACCAAGTGACCAAGATTCCTAAAGAAGGCCCTTAACAACATATATTGAAAAGATTAATGCTTGGCTCTGTGCTCAATAAACACATACAGCTCCAAATTCTTAATTGACTTTATGTCAGTTATAAATAAGAATTA